CTTCCTCACCTGTTTTTTCTTTTTGAGTCCTCCAGCAGCAGCATCAGTCCATAAGCCATAGAACATCCTTTAAGGACCATGCAGCAGTTTCTGTATGAAAACATAAATTAGGTAAAGGCTTTTGACCAGGGATGTCAATTATAGTAGATGTACACATTCAGACTTTGCCCAATTCAACTAAAATCAGATTTAAGCTTAAAAATAACTTGGCCCATATTGTCACAATACGAAAAAATAAATGGTGTATTTATAGCCTTGGTCTCTCCAGCTGTGTTGGTTTAGGTTTTATTACATCAGTAATAACAATTTATGTGATACTCTGAATAATGTGCTATTAAAAATTCTGCACAGTATATACTGCTACCCATGGGATTTAAACTGTGGGAGCTATATGCATAATTCTCTACTTGGCTATTTCTATAGGAGTGAAGATTACTATAAAAATGGTTAGGTTATATACACTGTGTGAATTCCTGCTCTGCTTGAATACAGGCAAGAGAAGAAATAGTTCAGTCCAGAATGCTTTTGGGTAAGGATCCCAAGGGTCTTAGTTTTGCAGTCTAAGGTTACACTGATCACATGTAAAGCATGAACAATATCAGCAGCATGCTTTTTGATGTCTTTACAGGATGCCAATAGATTTGTGAGGCACACCCTCCCTTAACGGAATCCATTGGATGTTTCTACAGAGCTTTATCTGTGTGTCTTAATGATTTTATTCTTGACATTAGTTCCTCTAATTTTCCTGGCATAGAAGTCACATCGACCGTTTTGTAGTGTCCATGATCACCCTTGGAGGGCTCTTTTGAAACACCAGTGGATCAGTGGTACATTTCCTATGTTCTATTTTGCTGGCATTAGGATCAGGTTCAGCAAAAAACAACCCACTGGCACTAGCACTTCAGTAGCTGAACATTTGAATCCTTGGTGGAAACATTACACAGCTCCAGCAATTGGTTACTGTTTAACTTACCAATTTCTCTTGAAGTCTTTCTTATTGACAATTCATTTGAGGACAGTTCCTCACCCTCAGTCCACCTAACGTTTGGTTCTTTAGCATGGCAAATAATTCTTCCAGCTTTTTAGCTGTGGAGTTAAGCACCTTGAACACTTCCTCTACATTTTCAGCCCTGCTGCTTTACCTACTTTCTTGCAGGACTCCTCTAGTGATAGATTCTGAAAACAGTTTATGTTATTTCTTCCACATTCCCGGCAAAATCTTAAAATCTTCTTGGTCAGCTCTGTTGTGGTTCTGCATTTGACAGACCTCATCCTATTCCTATGCTCCTTGCTTACATGAACTTCAATTTTTGAAGAACATCTGCATTTTCTTCCCTCAGAAAACATAGCTGTCAATGTTTATGGGTGGCATTGACACTATCCTTACCTTTATGGCTCTGGGAGCAGGGCCCAGGTGAGGGAGATCAGTAGAAAACAGTAATCACAGTGTATTTTCTTTCCATTGTTCAACCAGGTGGCCCATTGCATGTGACTAAAAGGCAGTGACACAGAGCATGGATCATATGGGCTAGTAATTAAGGACAAAGCTTTCACAGTGTTTATATTTACATTTTACTTGTCTTTCTTGTAATGCTAGGTACACATTTGTTAGATTTGGGAAATGTCTTGAGAACCTCTTTCTGAATACAATGAAAGAAGAAACTTCATTCAAATTTCAAATTCTATTTGAAAATGGGTCCAAAGTGTAGCAGAGACTTTAAATTGACAATTGGCAAAAGCTGGAAGGATTTACCAAGGGAGCAATCATCTCCTATGTACTATGTCCTATACTTTCATACAGCCCCTGTTTGAATCTGATTATGGAAATGAGAAGGACCTTTGTTCTAACTTAGCATCATGCTTCTTATTAGTGGAGTTAAATCGTACGAATTTGATAAAGCATTGAAGAAAATTTGAAGGAAGCAAATGTAAAATATGTGTATTTGTGCCGATTCTCAACCCTTTAAAGACAACTGTTGTAAGGAAGCTAACATGATCTGGACAAATGAGTAAAGCTTTATGTCTCTGACATGTTATTGCCCTACTGTTAGTTGAAAAATAGCATTAATGCCTTCACACCTGTTATGAAACTAAACTAAGAGGTATCTGCATACTGCTGTGTGAGGGAGACCTACATCTGCACAAAAAAGAAAGAATTACTATGGACATACAATTAAAAATTGCTTTTATAAGCATATTTATTTATTTCTCATTTTCCTGGAAGAGAGGAAGTGGTTTATCTCATTCCTGCTGTAATGAATGGCCTCCCTAGCATCCTCCCTCAGCCCTACTGTATACATAATTCTGAAAGACTTCTCTCACAGACATAATAAACATATACTTTAGCATGCTGTGACAATTAACATCCTGAATAATATCTTTGTTTTGCAGTGGTGTAGGGTAAAGGTTTTGAAAGCATTGTACAACACAGGCTATTTTCAGGGGCTTCCCAGAGTCAGCTCTCAGCTGTCTGTGCAAGTGCTGACTTGCACTACAGGCAGGACTTGTAGCACTCCTGCCCCAGAGCATCCCTGCTGCTGCACAGGTGCTCACGTGGCTCATGCAGCACTCATACAAATGGAGTCATCTCATAACTCATTAGCTTTGCTTGCCACAAAGCCATCATTTTCTCAGTCACTAAAGGCAGGGCAGTACTTAAACGTGGAGGCAGAGAAAGGTGAGTAGAGGGACACAGAAGAGTGATTAAGGATTAAAATTGGGTGCTGGGGTGAACTGGATGGTTAAAAAATGGAACTGGTGGTAAATGTAGGGAACATACATCAGGTCCTAGTTGGAGGCAAGGAAGAGCACTGATGGGGTAACAGAAGTGAACCCATTTGCCCAGTCCTGTAAAGCTCCATCCTATTCACAGCAGATAGCGGTACTGACAGACCTGAACACATTTACCACCAAAGAGAAAAAGGTTTAGGAAACATAGAAACCAAGGCACTGAGCATCTACATCTGCCAAAATAACCTACCAAAACTGGGCTAAGGTTTTGGTGTCAAGTCAAATGACAAAAACAACTTGTAAATCACCCAGACAGCATGTTAGTCAAGTCAGTATCACATCTGATAAACCATACGAGACACTTGAGAGATTAAGAGTATTTTTTTTTTTTTCTAGAAGGTCTGATTCTTTGATATATTCAGCAACTTCACGTCTTAAGATCATGGAACATAATATTATCATGCTTCATACTATAGCATCTATGCATTTTTAAGCTAAACATATTGGAGACATATAGTGCCTCATTTGCCTATACTGCATTATAGGGAGCCGCTGGACCGAAGGAGATTTCATTAAATGTTCCTAATTTATTCTGCCTCATTGCTCTTCTGTAAACAGGATGGGTCACTAGAGAGCAAGGCATTTAATCCAAAAAGAGGGTTGTGGGTGGATACACAATTTCAACATACTACAGGCCAAGGTAAGATTCTTCATTAGTCATTGAAATCCCGCAGAAATGACAAGATAGAAGTGTTTGTTTACAAGCTAGAGCACAGCATTCTCTAAAGCATTCACTCTTTCACAACCTCCCCTTGAAAAGGTTTTGGACAGCCAATAGGAGCATGGTTTAAATCCCAATCTAGGTCAGAGGGAAATTTTCAACCCTATTTTGGTGTCTGACTTTGTGATTTCTCTTTTTGCCTTTCTTTTTAATCAAGGTGACAGGAGCAACATTTTATTCATTTTTACCGGAAAGCAGAAAAGGTAATGATTAATCCATTCTGCAAGAAAAAGGAAGAGTTCTGGTTGTGAACTTACTGGTATTATCTAGCCAGTAAAAAATAGAAGTGTACTCAGAGAAGACACAGGATGGAAAACTCATGATGAATTGTTAGGGCATGTTGAGTTGGTTCTGTCAATGCCTGCAGTCAGATGATTTCACTGGCTGTACAAGATGATATCTCATATTTCAATGTATAAGTAAAAGTGTCAAAGTTCAGCTGAAGCAGGGACAAATACAGAACAAAATTTGTGTGTGTTTGTAACTAGGGCACCAGAGCAATAGAGGAAGCCAAAATGAGCCGGAAAAGCAAAAGGAGTTTAAAGGAGAAATTTGCCTTGAAGAACAGCTTGGTTAAAGAAGCCCTCTCAGAATTCCTGGGAACTTTTATACTGATAGTAAGTGTCAGCTGCTTTCCTTTCTTCCTACTAATCTAATGCTGGGCAGTGCTTGTAAGGGGACATGTATGCTTTTTCTTGTACTGTACCAGCAGCGTGGTTACTGCCTGACGAACATTGTACAGCCTTGAATGAACTGCTTCTATTTATGGTAAGTTTGTAATTCCTTTCTTCATCTGATGTAATTATCACTGGCTATTAAAAAAAAGATAGCTGTATTTATTATAATTGTCTAATAAGCATTTGATTTCATCTAGGAGCAAAATTTCAGTGAGCTACCACATTGTGAAAAATCAAAGTACGCACAATGAATGTTAATAATATGCTTGCTTTTGTTTTGAAAAAGCTCAGCAGTTTATTCTAGTTCCACTTCTGTGCACAACTTCCATGTGCTTTAACAAATACATTGTATTTCACATTAAGAGAATTTTAGCCAAGTTGTTTTCCCATGCAATATAGAAAGTTAGCTGTGTGATTTGCAGTGAATTTATTGGAAGTTGCACTGCCAAACATTCAGAGGGCTTTTGGTTTAACTGTACTACATAAAGTATACAGTTTCCTGGTCCTGTGGTACAGCTACAGTTTAGGTAAATGCCAAAATTCCTCATTTTCATATACTCAGATTTAGTTTTACTGAATTTCTTGCTCAGTTTTTCTGTGTATTTTGCAATGGGACACAGAGCTTTTCCCTGTGATTTACCAGGGTAGAGAGCAGATTCAGTAGCAGAGTTGGAAGTCGAGCAGCTAGAGTATTCATGCCAAACTCTTTCTTCCTCCTTTTAGTCTGAACAAAACAGTGTTGCTTATTCCTAATATTTCATAGAGAGAGGAAAAAGGAAATAAAAAGAAGCAGGCATAGCACTGACAGTGTGTTTTACAACTGTAACTATATTTTAGCTAAATTTCAAGTGAGTCATCTAAAAAATTTCAGTACCTCATAAAATACATGAAAATAATGGTCTTTACTACACTTCAGTGCACAGGCACTAAAGCAACATTATTCTCAAATTTAATACCATTCATAAGACATCATTACAGTAAGGAGCACATTTAGAAGCAAGGACAACAAAGCACTTTACAAACATTAATGAATTAAGTGTCACAACACCCTGGTAAGGAGGGGAAATGTCATTATCTTCATTTGATATATTAGCAAACCTGATTATAGCAGACTGCACAGGAAGCCTGCGGCAGAACTCTGAATATAACCCAGATCACCTGACTTCCAGTACTCTGTCCTCGACGCAAGATCATCCTCCTCTGTCCATCAATACAATTAAGCAAGTAAAGAAAACATATTAAAGTGCAGATTAGACCACAAATGCTATTATTTAATGTCCTGCTGCACAAGACTAGAAGGAAATGCAAATCCAGAGCCCATTTTCTAGTATATTCACCACACAAATGTAGTAGAAAATGAAGCTATAAAATTGTTGACAATCCGAGTTTCTCAATTCTGGTTTACCCTTTCTGATTTCAACCTTGGTTTAAAACAGAGAAGAGCCTCACATGGATTAAAAAGCGATTTTTTCAGTGCTTGGGTATCTCAATGTATGTTTAGACTGCACAAGTTAGTGGCAGTACAAAACATTTATTGTGAATGAACTGACTTTTCTGCTGTTATTTACTGCTATTGCTTTCAGGCTCTGTCAGCTAGTAAGTAGTTTCTCTTTAAGAACAGATAAATATTAAACCCTTAACTTAGACTGGAGCTAATGAAAAGGGCACATGGTAAGTCAGAGAGCAGAAATCCTTGAAAAACAGATACTGTGTATGCAAAAGAAGGGGTAATTTTCTTCCACCATCCTATTACTATGTCTTATTCCTGTTACAAAGTGAAAGTGAGACCAGAGTCCACAGCTTACAGCACAGTTGAATCAGATCTTTGCTGAAATCCATTTTATGTCACTGTGATGGGTTTTATAGCCTGTGGGGAGCACCCATGCCAGGGAGCGAGGCAAGGATGAGCCTTTCTATTACCAACAGAATTCTTCTGGAATTCAATGCTAACTGACCATACCTAATTTTGCCACCAACCTAGAACCTCTGGAAGTTAGCTGGGTGTAATTCTGTCCTCCAAATCACCTATTTCCATTTTTTTTCTGGAGAACAACATCACAGACCATACTGTTAATAGCCTGTGGTCTGTAATGTTGAGTAGAGCTTGAACTACCATCTTTGGAAACCCAAACCTTGCAACATTATTGCCCCAAACTGGAAAACGTAGAAACTTTAAGATTAATTTCAGGATATATGGAAAATAAAATCAGTCACTTGAGACAAACCTCAAGCCTTCACCTGTGGGTGAGGAGGACTCTGCTTGATCTTAAACAGACTTGAGACAACAGGCCTGGAGAAAGTCAGTGGGTTTACAGTTTGGGTAGCATTTCTTGGTCATCCCTACTTAATATGCTGTGGTTTGCCTTGCAGCATGGTTTCAGAGCACATAAACTGAATTCTTTTCAGAAGAAACTAAAGTGGAATGTGAGATCCAGAATCACAGCAAATGTACTGACCATTAATGGATACTCAATTCAGTGGATCAGACTGGAGATGCTCCCAAGTAATCCCTCCTGAGATGTCACAGTCAGGTTATCTGAACCAGCTGCTTGCACTGCACAACCTGACAATACAGATAATGTGTGTGATCCTCTCTTTCTGCTTACCAAAGCACCTGCCTTCAACCCCTGAGGGTTCAATGAGAAACACTAAACCCTAGGAACCTGGAAGTGCCCTGCTGTATAGGCAGATCTGATGGTATACAGAGCAGCTGCTGTTACCACCTGCCTGGGTAATCCTGCTGGTGAGTAGGCTATTTCGCTTAGACATTCTGCTGGGAAACACGTATTTCTTTCAGCATCAAGCCTCCCCAAGCATAGCACAGCTTCCCTAATTACACTCTGGAACAAGAACCAGGGCAGGAACCCCAAATTATACAGTCCATAACCAGATGCAAATTGCATGTAAGTTTGGTTACGATGAGCTTTGGATACTGTGTTCACTTTATAATGTTCCATCAACCTGAGAAAATGTTACACTTCACCTCTTACGTGATTTCTATGAAACAAATGGAGCAATGCAGTTCTAACATCACTAAGTTATATTTGCAGTACAGGCAACAGGGAGCATGCATTATGCTGGGTATTTGCAAATGATCTGTGAACTTCTGCCCCTTTCTTGTATTTACCTTGGTGATGTCACGTGGCAAACCCCTAACCTGCAAAGTTTAATTGTACCATTTGTAGTTTAGGGTAAATATCAAAAAAAAAAAACAAAAAAACCAAAAAACCCGAACCAAAATCCCCACAACAATCTACCCACAGAGTTTTCAATGAACATTTGAAAACAGTACAACTGTTTTATAGATAATGTATACACAGTGTGTTTGGAAACAACTTGTGGGACTGGTCCCCCCCCCGAGGCTATACCTAGGCAATAGATTCCTGAGGTGGGAGAACACCCACCCCTTTTGTTCATGGTGTCTGAGAGGCCACTGTGCACACACACATTTCCCAGCCTCTGATATAGCCTCAGCCTGTATCTGGGGCTGCCTGAGGCCACCTTGTGAAAGAGCTCTCTGGAGAGCTTTTTGTTCTCCAGCATGCCTCCTGGCTCAGTGCTTTTCCTCTTGGGGCTCCTCTGCGGGACAACATCTGGGTGCCAGGCACAAGAGTGTCAGGAAGCCATGCTGCACCAGGCAGATGGTTTATGTGAATTTTCAGTGAGCCTGCCTGCAACTCACCTATTCAACTGCCTCTCTGCTTTTAATCATCCTTCTCTCCATATTTACACTTTGGAATTTGGCTGCACTGCTCTCAAACAAAACAGGATTTACTCTGGCTTATGCCATTAAGTGTATCCAAAAAAAGAGAGATGCCAAATTGGCCACGTGGCTTCCTTTACCAGTTCTGCTCACCTGTTTATTTCATTGGCTCTCTTAAGAGCATCTTACCAAACACAGTTTCCCAGAAAGAAGCTGCACAGGAGCCAGTGTCTCCTAAGCCCAGAACAGTGTATGCTTCCTTGTTGAAACAGAACATGGGCTTCCATTTAGCATGTAAAGACAGGTGGGTAGTGTAAGTATTCCTATCCTAAAGCTTAGTCTCCAGCTGGAGGTGGGGAGCCTCTTGCGAAACTCCCACTGAAGCAAATGTTTGTTTGCGTGTCTAAAGGTGTAGTGCTTGAGCATGAAACAAACGCATGACACCCCATATTGCAAATAATTCAACTAATGAGAAGGAAGGCTATTTATCTTTTGCTCATCAAAACCTTTTTATCTTGTTTTCATATTCTGACTACTTAGTTTTGTAAGTATCACTCCTGCTTTGTTGTGGAGTTTGGGTGTTGCCTGCAAAATCTTGTAAATATGACATTCCATGGATTTGCCTAGTCTAGAAGATTAAAATTTACGCAACTTTTCCATATCTCTTTATGGCCTTACATTCCAGTGCATGTTAATTACAATATGGCACAGTAATATAGCATACATTAGAATCCTCATTACACAATGTTATTACATGAAAGCAAATGTAGCTTTCGATAATTCATTCCTTAAGTAAGTGTTTAATACAAAATTAATACTAAGTTTATAAAAAAAGATAAATTCCATGTTCTAAGTTTTTGTGAAAGGAAGATTCTGTATAGGATGAAATTGCTTAAACAATGAGTTTTGTTTAAGGTAGAAAACTGAATGGCAGCAGTTTGAGAGCTACCTTGTTTGCCGTCAGCAATGAACTTCCTGGAGTACAGAATCTTATATAATTGCCTCTTAGACAGTGAACTTCAGTTTGTCAAAACTAGTTAAAAATGTTATTAAAACTTAAACTGGTATTTTGATAAGCCACTCAACAGCTTTTTAAATATTATATAATGCTACAAATGAGCAGTGTCTACCCTCAGCTCTCATTTAACCACAGGGCTCCAGCATGCTGGAATTAGTTTTCCAGGATCTTTTTCTGTAGATACTTCCCCCCTCCCCAGGAAGTTTGCACCTACAGGGATGAAGTTTGAGGCTCAGCTAAAAGTCCCTACAGAACACTTGCATCCTTCCAACATTCAACTGCAAGGGCACAACCACAAACAATCCTCTTCCACGTGTATTTGTGTTTTAGACACAAATTTATAGAATGCTTTTTCAGGTTTTGCCAAATAAAAAAAGATAATAAAAGTAATAATTTTAAAAACTGACAAACAGCTGGGGAACAGAATGAAAGATAGTAAGTGCAGTTCATGCCATACAGAGATCTGTGATCAAAACAGTTCAATAAACCATTTTGGATAAAAGAGAATTCTTGTGAGCTCTCCCAGTCCAAGGCAAACTTAACACAGTTTCTCTGACCCAAAGGGTTATTTAACATTAAAAGCATTCAAGGTGGTTTTTTTTTCCTAACAGAAAACAGCTTAGGAAGAGAACATGCTGAGGCTTTAATTACCCATAACCATGCAACTCCAACCGCAAGGACACAGCAAAGATCCCACCACCCGGTTCCCGCACCCAAAGGAAAGAGTAAAACAAGCTACATGTACCCTTACACTCTTAAGAGACAGAAAACCTTATTTCTCAGAAACTGCCGTGCTGCCTTGCCCGCTCCTGCACTATGTCTGAATAGTACAGATAATACCCCAAGCACTGCTACAGAGACTAAACACATTTTAAGAGTACAGGAAGATTTTAATCTTTTCAGTTGGTGTAGGAAGCAAAGCAGAGAGGCACATCTCAACTCAAGAATAAATGAGTAACCTGGGAGGGAAGCAACACGTGAATAGGTTCTTTTTCTCCTCAAGACACTAGGTAAGAATTTCTTCCCTTGTCTAGCCATTTCTTCCTAGCCCCTTTGCAAGGGGCCACATTTCACTCCTGAAAGTTTGCATCTGAATGTGAAATATTTCATTTGCTTTCTCTCCTGAATTCCTACAACATAGTAAGAAAATAAAAATAACCTTCACTGAAGAAACTGACTCAAACCAGTTGCGCTATAGAATTCAGGAAAGAAAAGCACTTCAGCATTTCAGGATGAAGAGTGCAATATTAATCATAATAAAATACAAGAGAATACAGACCTTTGCATTCTCTCTAGGTGATTTCAAACTTTTATTTGTCTCCTATTGCATGTGCAAAAGGAATAATAAAAATCTGAAAGTGTCAGCTTATATACCACAGCACAGTCTGTGCCTCAATATTTTCACTGTGTTTTTCCCACAGAGCAATCTGAGCCTGATCTTTATGTGTGTCTTAAAAGCTTTATATACACAATTCATCCAAAACCTTACTAAATCTACATTCTTGTCTCCAAGAAGTAATGCTGTCTGTCATTAAAAAATGGTTTCAAAAGGGAAATCCATTTGAACCCCAGAGGATATTGGTTATATCCCACTAGATCATCAGGAGAATGGATATAGTGATTTTTTTATTACTTCAAGTTTGATTAAATCATAATGTACAGAAATCTTCCCATCCCCACCAAAATATTTAATTAATGATAAAATAAGAGGCATGTGCTTTTAAAGTATTTAACAGCTACATGACTGGTAAACTGTATTTTTAATCTCACCTAAAAATCTTATATACTGATTTAACAAAAGACAGCAAATATTAAACATGAAATTAGACAAAGATTGCTCTTTCCTGGAAGAACAGGAGCTTCCTGCAAATTAAAAGCCTGCACATTCAATTCATTCAGCTACAGGCCTGAATTCTCATATATCTAACACATTGCTGTCAGCTTTACCATCTCTATTGAAAGTGTGTTTAGGAGCCCAGTCTGAACCAAGGCCCTACATAATACACAAACATAGCAAAAATATGGCTCTGTATGGAAAGTTTCTAATCCTTTATAAAATACCTTATTATGAAATGCAATAGATTATTTAAAAAGCAAGTCTGCTTCAGAATTTAAGAGGTTGGAAATGAAAGGGAATTGTAAAACAGACTCCAAATTAAAGACCTTTAGGAGGACACCATCAATTTAGAAATTGTCTCATATCTGAAAAGTTTACTTACTCCTTTTGTAGGCAACACTCAAACTAACTGTATATGGGAATATTAAGGGGGAGCAGGGAAAACTGTAAAAGGCTAGAGGCAATCACAAATAACTTCTAATGTTTTCATGGGCAATTCTGTTCAGAGATCCCTACCTGCAGTGAAGGGAAAACAATCACTTCTCCCAGTCTCCAAGGGACTTTCTGACTCTTCCTACCCCTATTCTTGCTTTTAAGGGCATAAATAGGCCATTTACAGTCTGGCTGCTTGGAGAAGTCATAGAGGTTTGCCTAAAAAGTGAAATACTAGGGCAGACTTGGAACAGGTGGCTTCAGGATAGTAGGACACTCACTGCAAGCACACAGCTGGAGCCTAATTCACTGCACTGCTCCTGAGAGTCCATCCCCTTCCCAGCACTGTGCAGAAACATAAGCACATGTGGCAGAATCCAGAGCAGTACTTCAGGGCTGTCCAGTGTGAAAGGGGAGCAGGCAATAGGCTAGCAGGAAATGCCCGTCTGGGGAACAGCAGGACAACACAGGTGGGAGAGTGACATGGGAAAGGGGCAGGGTTGCTGCCTTACCTGAACAAAGGCATCTTCACAAAATTGTGAATTGGTGGAGGGAGTCCTGAAAACTGACTGAAATGGGAATTCTGAACTGGTTTTCTAGGATTTCCCAATTGAAATTGTAACAGCTTATCATTATTTTTTGGTAACTGCTGATTCTGTATTCCATGTAGCACCCCGAGTTCTTGTATTCACGTAGAGCATCATCCAGATGTGCGGCCACTGAGGCTGTATCTGCCTGCAGGGACATCTGTGGTACCCTCACCACAAGTTGACAGCTGGTGAAGTACAAGATATAACAAAAAAATTGTCATTGTCTCCACACTGTTAAAAAGCAGGAGATTTGACTGCTTCTGTAATGTTTAAGTGTATGGCTATGAGTGCACACTACCACCAGATCTGTTTGATCAGAAGGGAACTTTTTTTTATATAAGCATTCTGCTTTAAGATGTCTAAAGCTTTATAGGCCATGTAGAAAAATAAATTACCTAAAATTCTGGATTCCAATGTGGCAGGAAATCCTATTTACACTAAAAATGCTATTACAAGCATTTACAAAAATCCTGAAAATAGCACAAATGGAAACAAAATGATCTTTAGATGCTCTGATGAATGTCAGAGATAAAATTCTGTAAGCTTTCAGGGAGTAACAGGACATTATGCTCATTGGAGGCCAGTTGTTTTCCTTTCCTAACATTATCCTTGTTACACATGACAAAGAAAAGGCTCTAATGTGTACAAAGCAAGATTTTTTGGCAGGGAATGTGCAGACAGCTATTCCACACCCAAACGTGTTATTTATGACAGTAATATCATTACTTTGTGAACAAAAGTTAGTACTGAAGCTATTCTACTCAATTTAAGCAGGTCAGGCTATAGACAACTGATAAGATGAAAGCCTAGTAACCTAAGATATGATAAAGAGATCTGGTTATATTCTACTGTAAATTAAATTCCCACTGATTCCTTGTGCTTCATTCAATGAATTTGTGTGGGTGCAGCTGATGGCTGAGCTTGGCCTAGAAACTTAGAATATTAGTTACAACTTGATGATCTAGTCAGTCTTAACTCAGCCAAGCAGAGATTCACAGGGTATTAAATTGCTGCTCCTGTAATTACATGATTAGGTGACAGTTTCCAGTTATGTCAACCTAGCTACAGTAGGTATGAGAAAAAGTTTTCTCTTCCTAAAAATGACAGCAGATGGAGAAAATATTAGTGTCACATGGTTCAGATTTATAGGCTCAGTGCCCAGTTTCCCCATCCCAAAATGGGCACACTCTGACTGGACCTGCAATAGCGCTCATGAGCAGGCAGTCACCAACATCCACCAAGCAAGAAGCCAGTGCAGCTGTGTTTGAGCTGGCTTGCATGCTTTCTTGTTTGTAGACTGAGCTTTCTGAGGCTAGTTAAGCACAAAAATGGAGCATCTGTAGTTGCGTATTTCCCTATGACATGCAGGGCAGAAGTTATTATGCAAGAGTGACACACAGCTATTTCTGTACAATTCTCCTCAGTTCTGGTAATTAGGGAAGGGAGGCCAGAGCCTCCCTCTCTTATTTCCTTCCCTCTTCTTGTGAATTTGTAGTTGATACACAGAGATGTTATTGTCCCTTACCCTTTTTTATACCCATCTCCCCTATTCCTATTTCTTATAACATCCTTAGTAATACTTTCAAAAGAATATCCTTTTCTTTGTATCTGCAAAACTGTCTATGCCATTTTAGAACACAAGCGCATGCTTGCAGATCTAACTGCTTCCCTGAATGCAGGCTGCATCTCAGTGTACACAGCGCATATGTCATCCTCTGCACAGTAGTTGACTGCAGCTTGGCATAGTCAAGTTGCAAAGTCTTTCAACTTTCAATTATACAGTCCAATAAACTACTGCTATCTACCTCCACCCTACCTTTACTTAACCTGACAGCTGTAACACTTTGGCACCAGCCAGTGCTTTGTTTGCTTACATAATTATAACCTCAAGGCAAGAACTGCACCTGGGTATATGACACAATCTTGGGGCACTCTTATAGCAGAAACTGTCTGCATTGCTGGTTAAGAGCATAATTTTATTGAGAGCTTTTCTGTCACATTTTGGTGTTAGTTAAAATCCTTGGGGAAACACCCTTGGGAACAAAAATATGATCCCCCCCATTTAAATTGCATCTGTTCTAGCAGGACTTGCTTGTTAAACCTAAATCACCAAACCTTTTTGGTATAGTCTATTTCTAAGGCAGGAGAGATCTTCCCATTACCTTGCAGTTTCTGAATGCAACTACCTTGCAACTGAAAATAAGGATTTCTAAAAGAACTAGATTTTATGTATTTAAATATGCAGAGTAAGAAAGAATATTTGTGATACAGGCATTGGTGACAAGCAGTGTTGTAGTTTGGCAGTAATGGCAGAATACTAAAGCAAAGCAAGGATATTAACCAAAGCAATTACACAGGCTAAGATGGAATGACTTTATAAGAAGAAAAAAATCAGATTCCCATGTACCATCAAAGTACATAGATACATATATCGATACAGATATCTATATACCTATCTATATATCTCCTATTTAACATCAAAGTGGATTAAGGTTCAGGATAAATCTAGTCCCACCCCAGAATTGTCCCAGTACAATTCAGATCACTTACAGTTGCAAAGAAGCAAAGGTTTTTTGACTACAGATATTTGATATCTTCCACAGAGTGCTGGGTCCTTCAACAAAGCACTCGGGCATAAATTTAAAAAGGAGATTTTCAAAGACACAAACTGATTTCTGGCAGAAAACGATCAGCTAGTCTATCTTAAACTGAAGGCTTTTGTAACTCTGAAAATCTTTCCTACCAACTCTAATAGGACCTAAATGTACACTTGAAGCTAAGCAGAAGCTTTAGAACAGGATAAACATGATCTTTAGCATACATTTAAATGTGCTGCTGAATTTAATTCTGAGAACCAACATAAAATAGAAGCTAGTTTAAATCCACTGAGAATACTCCAGTGTGAATTATTCAGGTATCTCCACTTCAATTAATTGTTCAAGCTACAGAGCCAGTGAAATATTTTGATAAAGTAATATATGATATCAAGGCAGCATAACAGTAACACATACTCTGATTTCCAGACAGTTGTCTCCCTCCAGAGTTTCAGCATTAAACATTAGAAGCTTTCTGAACGGTATTTCATAAGTTGTATAGTAATTTTTCATTGCTTGTAACAATCTGGAAACAAAAACTTACCACACAGAATTAATTCTTTCTTCACTTTCAGATACAGAGATTTGTTGTAGAGGCTGTGAGATCTTGTTTAGGCTCCAAACTCTGATCTGTATCCCATCATTGTACTCGAAAGCTCTTTTCCGGGGAAGACAGAGGTCCTTACAAGCAAACATGGTCACAGAGCAGGGGGAAAAAAGGAAATGTTCATTGCAGCAAAGGCAACAATGGCATGCATGCTACTAATCTCAAATTCCAGCACTGTTTTAATATTTAACAACATTTTCAGCTACATCTGGACAGCAAAAGAAGTTGCAAACTAACCAACAACATTTGACAGACACACACATGGTTTTACATTTCTCTTTCAAAATATAGATGCTTGGATGTGGGTGTGTGGGCCAGGCTGTCCTTAGCCGAGGAGCCCATGGTGGGCCTATGACGGTATCGGTTGGATTTGCAATGGCAGTCACCATAGCAGTGTATGTGTCTGGGGGAGTTTCTGGTAAGTGACTCTTTTTTCCTTATATAGCATTTATTGCCACAGTTTTAAGGCTATGTTATTAAATTACTTACATTTCATGGTATAAACAATTATGTATTCAGCAATAGCAGGAGAGTCTGCATCAGAATTTTGCTCATAAATCTTTTGTGTTCTTGTTTCCTTCTATTCTTTGCATTTGACAAAATCTTCCACCAAATTCTGATTTGAACTACAGTGTGCAAAATTGGCACATGTCTGGCTTTTATGGAAAATAGTCTGTGCAAGCCAGAAGTCTGCTTGGTCTTGCTTTGAAAATTCTGTCAATAGAGTTGATCCTGGACAGGATAGGCACTGCATTTAAGGAAATAACCATGAAAAGCTTACAGAATCCAGTAGAGGCATCAGCTAAAATGGCTGCCAGCTTGGAAGAACATAGAATGACCCACTAATGGGTATAATGAGCAGGGTTCACCTTACAGCATGCAGTCTCTTCCTTTCATATGACTGGGTAATAGCAAGTCTGTTCCTGTTTGCTGATTCAGAGAGCAGCAGATCACAGAAAGCAGAAAAGGCAAAAAATATTGAATACTAGGGATAAACTCCGATGCACTGTCAATGTACTGTCATTGCCCCTTTCTTTCTGCTGTATTATTTCCTCAGTGTATATGGGTTGGGAGCCTTTCTTTTGCCTGTAGCTAGGATAACTGATCAGTATCTATGTGTGCCATACTGGATGGTGCTTATTCTCCTATTTCCACCATTCAGTTTAGCCAAATTAATATCAGAAACATTAGCGTAACTGGCTTTAACATTTAAATTCTCCCTTTAAAATAGAAAATGATGGGTTGTGTTATGAATTATACACTGTTATGCATTATAACACATACTAATGTATACAGTGTTCTGTATTATAATAGTGTTATGCATTACATAATACTACAGTGTTATGTATTATAATAGACAACACTCCATGTTGCATGTGGAATTTGTATTGCTCTCTTATAGCAAACAGTGCCCTTGTACTCCAGCTTTCATAGAGGCATTTCTTACCCTTCATAAAAAAGGTAAAGCAGATCTGAGCAGATATCACTAGATAAAAATAGGCCATTATAAATAGCTGCTATAGCAGAAATCAGTGCGGCCATTTCTCCTCTCTTTGACAAATTCTTTTACAAAGGCACTGTGCACAAGGAAGTTTAAGTTCACATTAGAAAGTGCTCAAGGTACTGAAAAACAGGCAGTCATGTTCCTGTCATTGAAACAGGGCAGAATGGTTCCTTAATACAACATGAAGTTAATTCCTATTACCTGAACATCTCTAAACTACAACACTAAACTACAACCCTTCTAATACAGTATCATGAAAAAAAAACAAACCTGTATAGACACTAACCTGCCCTACATTTGCATCTGTAAGGGATATTAATCTCCATTACACAGAAGATTAAGAGTTCAATCCCAGCAGGGCAGAGCAGTTGTAGATGTTGCAGTATTACACTTCCTGTGTTTTTCCCATGACAAAGGATTCTGCAGACAGTGCATTTTCTCTGCAAAAGAATAGCAACAGATATTTCAATAGGCTGTGATTATCCAGCATATGATTACTAGTGGACATTTCAGAATATCAGGTGCTATACAGAATTTGTTAGCAAGTTCTGTGGCTTTTTGGTCATGGTGTTTCATGTTTAAGTGTCGCTAAAATAGTTTGCATCAGTTCTTTATGGTACTATAAAATATAGTACACTTGGTGATTTTGAGCTCTTATCTAGGAAAAATTTCCTTTTTGTTTTTCTCCACCTAATCTTCTGTGTCTGGATCACTGTGATCACTGGAGCTACAAAAGAATGCAGGAACATGCTATCCAAAGTGTTTTGGTTCTTTTTTAAACCAGGACACTATCAGTGGCAAGGGAACCAAGACTCTTTTTAACTCTCCTATGTCAGCATATTTGGCCTTCAACTAGACTTTTCCTTTCCAGATGCAATGTTAATTAGATATCTCTATTATGTCTTGTCCTGCCCATCATAATCATCATACAGGTGGGGAACAGTATCAGGTGTTGAAAGAAAGGAAGATGATTAATTCCAGGCAGAGTTAAGAACAAAAGACAAAACAACAGTTCATCAAAATTCACAAGGGGCTGTTAAATAAGGTGCCAGCCATCTCTTTGCTCTGTGCTGAAGAATTTGAAATACAGTGAGGAATTCAAAATTAATTCAGGACTGATGCCACTAGGTCAGAGTTTTGGAAGTGATACAAAGAAGGTTTTATCCAGTTTGTTATCTGTGTTTGTCAGTTCATTATGTATCAAAGGTGCCTGAATTTCATAATCTAATGACTTGCTGACCTGAAGTGCAAACAAACACAGAAACTGTACATAGAGGCCCTTTCTCCATCAGTAGCCTTTGACAGACAAAGGTCACACTCTTTTAGTTATTTTATTAAAGAAAAAGGCTAATTTTTTTTTCCAATAACCATGAGGCCAAAGTGAGACTTCACCTGGAAGGTAAGCAATGGATCTGCTATGTTCTTGCAAAACTTAAGGTTTACTGTATTTTTACTTTGGAGTATTGTTCCATCTGTTTATTTGGCAATTTGCATTTCTTAAATATCAACTACATATTTATATATTAAAAAAAAGGCATTCAACACTTTTTTTCTGTGTTGATAAAAGACACTGAGGGAAATGACTAGCACATGATGTAATAATAGACGTATTTTAGAAACTAAAATTGTCACAAAGAATTCCAGTATTACTGAAATCTTCTCCATGTGTGAGTTTATATGTAGCTACTCCAAAATACCACAGGACAGATAATTCAGTTTCGGCACAAATACTTTACCAGTTTTCTTGTCATGGACCTTTCTGGAGGGTGTAACAGCTTGATGAAAACGTGATGAAGAACTACACACTGCAGTCCTCAGATCCTACCTAGGCATAGCTCACCAACAGTCAGCACGAAGCTAGACAGGCCTGACATTGTTTTATATTCATGAAAACTGACTTCCTAAGTAACCCCCAGTTGAAGACAGGGTCATAAACATGACTTAAACCCAAGGTACTCCAGATCTACCTCAAGATATATGATCAAGCCAGTAATAGTCCTTAATCTTAATACATGCTTTCTAAACTGAATGAATGTTCTGCTGCCACAATTCTCCCTTAAAAAAAAAAAAAGCCAAAGACTTAAGGGGAGAGAATATGTGCAGAATGATGGACCCTCCCATCACAACCAATAGGGCAGACTTAGGCTTTTTCTAGAAGAGTTGTCTATAGATTATACAGTGCAGGACAGCAGTTTGATAAATAGCACAGTCTGCAAACATTAAGAGGGAAGCTAGATCGTGGTGGCTTTCCTCCTCTCCCCTGTAATTTGTTTCAGTTTAATTGCAGTCAGGCTATAATTGCAAAACAATAGCTAGAAAAGCATATACTAGTCTCATGCTCAAAAGCATCTATGTTTTTACGAATCCTTCACCTATTCTCATGTATCCGAGTCATCCATATGACTTATTTTGTGATTCATTTTTCAGGTGGTCACATAAACCCAGCCGTTTCATTAGCCATGTGCGTGACTGGAAGATTAAGATGGACCAAATTACCAATTTACATATTAGCACAACTCCTGGGAGCATTCACTGGAGCAGCAGCTGTCTTTGGGATTTATTATGGTGAGTACACCTCAGACATGCTCACAGGACAAACTAGAGGTCAGGCAGTCTCTAAGGCCCCAATTTCTCAATGAATGCCAAGCAGGCACAGAACTGCTCACACAGGGCTAATGGCAGGATTGACGCTAAAGCCATAAAGAAGAAAAAAGGAAGGGGGGGGGGGGGAGAGGGCAGGGGGAAGAGAGGGAAGGCTCAAACATTCCGGGTATCCTACAACTCTCGTGAAACATTAATAATTCAGGAAAAGTTCTGAAATTTAGAAAAATTATTCATGGGAAATCAGATACTTTGAGATCATGTATTTCTCAGTAGGATTTTAAATTACTTAATAGCCAGGATATAGGGCTATTCATCTTCCAAGCAAATTAGAAACATTAAAGACCTGATCCAAGTGCCTGTAGGCAAGTATCACCAACATCGTTCATCGAGGTTACAGGATATGAGATCAAGTCCCCCCTGACTAAACATCAGGCCACCCTAGAGAGGTAGCTCTCCAAGGCAATGAACTCCAGGTACAGTGGTAAAAGGGTCACATATTAGAAGGGAAGAAAAGAAGGGGGGGGGAGTTACCCCTATCCTTGAGGCTGTTGATTTTACACAGAGTGCCACAGAAGGAAAAAACATAGTGACAGACTCCCTGACTTGATGAATCCACACAGCGGGATCAATCAGTTGCTTCAACCACCTACTCCAAAACTGCTTGTACTAACCCAGCCCATCTCCTCCAAGGCCTCTCTCTGATGGGCATTATGTCTGCAGACAGTGCTGGGTCTAGGAGCAACAGAGGAAAAATGAAAATGGAAATGCCCATTGTGTATCAGCTAGGTACTCAGTGCTAGCACTAGCCAAGAACAGAAAAACCTTTAGGAACTGAGGAAACTGTTTAAGTGGCCCAAGTTTGATGCAGGGTTTGTTAGTTTGTTTGGGATTTGGAATGGGGAGAAAGGGGAAGAGTTTGTTTTAAGGTTAGCGTTAGAATTTGGAAACTGTGGGATTCCAGAACAGGATTTTCTAGAATCTTCCTCAAGCTAGACAGCCAAGTTTAGGGCTGCAGCCATGACGCAGCAGTACATCAACATGCACATATGGTTGGAAGTAAATTCATTGCATTCTGCTAAAGGGTAGCAGTAGGATAGGAAGCCAAGATCAGGAACTTCGGGCTAGGGTTAGAGACTTCTTGTGAGTCAGGAGTGATGGATCTTCTCATACCCCTATGTCTGATCAAGACCAATATTGCCTTCCTCTTGTTCCTATTAACTCCCAACCCTCTTCGGTACTTTTTTTCCTTCTTGCAACTTGTAAGAAGAGTGTTCATTCACTTATCAAGGTCCACTGAAAATTCATGGGTAGAAAAAGGCATAGGAGCTCAAAACCTCCATGTTCCCCATATACAGATATTTGAGCTAGGTGCTTTCATTGTCAGCAGTGTGCCTGAAAGAGTGAGGAAATATACATGTTTAACTACTAAACATGAGGCTTTTCTAAAGGTGTACAAAGTAATTCACAGCTGAGACATTTTCTTTTCCTTATTTTTTTCCCTAATAGTTAAATGCAACAAGATAATCTAACACTGCAAATGAGAGCGCCTGACCAACCAAGTAAACAACTAAATGTTCCCTGCACCCATGTCATAGCCTTAAGCAAAACTAGAAAAAACAGGGGCAAGGAGAAATAGATTTGCCTGTTAGCTTCAAGAGAAGCTAACCATGCTTACCACGGTAGGTGGGAAGCTGTTCCTTTACTCACAACTATCACCTCATCAATGGATCCACTAGTGAAATATAGGCATAGTATTCGTTATTCATGTCTGCCTATGCAGATTTTAGGGTGCTTCATCTTAATGTCTTCCTAACATTTCAGAGCTTGCCAAGGCAGCAAATTATTCTGATGCAGAAGTCATATTATTGAAATATACTTTAAATATACTAATATAAAGATACATGTATTTAAAATATCTATAAAAATACACTAAGAACTGAAGATTCGGGGGTAGCATCTCTCCTCACACCTTGGATGACTAGCATAGCAGGGTATAAGGCCCACACAGTGAAAAACAGGAGGTCTCTCAGGAGAGTTCATTCCCAGAAGCCATTATTGCTCAGCTGTCAAATGGAATAGCAATAATTCCTGGTAGCTGGGAATACACAACAGTACAAAGAGGCTGGATGCATTTTGGGAGGGCATTGTGTCAAATACAGCACCTTTTACCAGAGTAATGCAACTGTGTTCGGAATCAGAAAATGCTCCTTGGCACTGAGTTTGGAGCAATGAGGAGAGGAAACAACAGCAACATTTAGAAAGCTGTGATACATAAAAGAAGTACTTCAAGGCACAGGAGGAGAGATGAGACAGGAGGGTATAATTAGTGCATCACCTCAAATCTGTTAACTATGTTCCCAGAAAAAACAACTAGTTTCAGCGGAGAATATGAAGTACATAGACATATCACATCCATTCTAGTTCTAGAAAACCCAATGTTCACAGAGAAGTGCAACCAGGTAATGGCTGTTTTCTACAGATGCCTTTATGGAATATAGCAATGGAACACTTGAAGTCATAGGACCCAACGCAACAGCACATATCTTTGCAACATATCCAGCTCCATATCTGTCCCTCATAAATGGATTCGCAGATCAGGTAAGTGCACTTACTCTTAAGTCCACAAAATAAACATACTGAGAACTCTAAAACCAAACAGTAAGAAACAATACGCATATCTCTAACAGGTATGATGAATCTCCCTGTTTTACTTGTACGTCACTGTGTACAATAGCAATGATAATGCAGTGCCCTTCACAGGGGTCACATTTGAGTCATATTTTACAAGCAAGATAATTTAAAGTTGTCCTTTTCATATACATCGTATTAATTTTTG